ATACTACTGGCAAACCGAGGTCAGATTAACCCACTGCTCTTTGTCAGAACGGTTTTCTTCTTTCTGTTAATCTGGTAAAAGAATTAGGGAACAGTGTTAAACCACTAAAGATCTGACCGTTGACCTTCTTGATGTTTGATTGTATCTTAGAGTAGTACACCTGGGAGTTGCTCAGCATCTTAAAAAAAGACAAAAGCTTCATTTCAAATGCAGAAATGCAAATGTTCGTGATAGATTATCCAAATCGTTACTCAGAAAAGGGAATTGATCTCCCTGTGTGTATTTGTGTTGAAGTTAAGGCCTTCTCATTATGGAGATTATTTAAATGTGACCAGTCATCAGCAGAACAGTCAGCAATCATGGCACCAGGACCAGCAGAGAAACCTCTCTAACCAGTTTCACGTTGCCATGTTTATGCGACTGTAATGTTTTCAGGAGCTTGTCTCATTCGCGGCTGTGAGAAAGACACTTGGCAGTGACTGAGTGATTATCCAATGTGTTTTTACTGAGCTCCCTGTCTGCCATGCAGTGGTCCATGTCTCATTCCTCCACATTTGTAACGGTGTCCTCAACTGGAGGGTTTTTACAGACAAGCTTGTTTGGATGGGTATCTGAACAGGGCCTTTGTGTCTTTCAATCCCCCGAATCCCCCTCTGAACGCTGTCTGGATTTAGGTTCTGTGCTGCACTTCCTGTGTCTATAAACAGGTCAGTGGGATGCAGGGTGTGGGACTGTGCCACTGGACATGATGGAAGACTGAGGAGCTGGGGATGACTAAACCTTCAATACTATATTACATCTATGTTTTATCCATTGGTCTCAGTCTTTGTACATTTCTTTTAGCCTCTTTATGTCTCAGTTCAGGAATCTTTATAGCAGCAGCCCTCCTCAGCTTGCACGTTTGCTGATACCACAGAGCAGTAATGAGTTCTGCTTTCTCATTGTGTCATGGTAAAGAGATTTGCAATTTGGAAACTTTTTGGCCAAATTTCAACCAAGCGGAGCCAAGATGAGCTCTGCTGCCATTTATTCTGCCCCACTTTCTCTTGGGTGAAAATGAGTTTAATGAGTAACAAGGCCTCGCTGGGTTCGACCCATGCCCAAGGGAGCTGTTGTGGTTCGGGGCTTCCTTCCCAGCACATCCACTGCTTCACCTCTAGCTGGCAGATGTCCGAATGGACTGCTTCAGGATGGAAACATGGCACAACAAAAAGCCGATTCGGCATGTTTCTTCCCCTCATCCTCCTCGGCCAGTGAGAGCATTGACGTAGCATCTGGCCCGAGGCCGTCCTCCAGCCAGACCACAGACACAAATTGACAACATGTGTCCTGGTGCACAAAGCAGACGAACTCCTTCGACTTGGAGACTCAGAGATTCCCTCACCAGGGTTTGTATTGGCAAACTGAGAAATGCAGCTGCGATCATATATTGTCTCTAACATTAATTCACTGAAAATACATTTGTCTCTCTTTGGACTGAGTGAAGCTGTCAGTGGCTGGTTTCCAGTCCTGATCAACACTTGTATCGACCAACTATCCCATGAGCCATTGCTCCACATGTTCTTTATGAAGGGGCCTCAGTTATACAACAGCCCAAATAATTTGCTGTTTAATGGATACGATAATGGACCGGACTGCCTTTGTGCTTTGCTCTAATTAAGTGTTTTGTTTGCTTGTAGAGAAAGGCTGCACTGTTTGAGCATGCCAACGGTAGGAGGGGTTCAATTCCCTGAGTGGTTCAGTGGGTTAGGCAAGGCATCAGCAGGGTTGGCAGCCAGGTTTACTGTTCAGTTCCCTGTGTGTTCCACAATGTCATATATGTCTGAGCAACAGTGATTAGAAACATGTTACTTTCGAGCGATTATATATTATGTAGACAGACCAAAAGCTGAAAGAAAAACAATATTGAAGACAATACAAAACTAGAATGGTGCTCAGAATGACACCAACATTTCCCTTAAATTCAATTGAGACGCACACAAATTGCACACACTGACTTTTTCATTTAAATCCATGCATTATTCTTTGGGACATATCAAAAAATATCAAAACAATGGTCTAGTTTCCAATATCAAAGCTAGGATTGGTAGTCATGGTAAAGCTAGCAAGATCAGGCTACCGATACATCCCACCCTCACCCATCAGCTCTCATGTCAAAGTTAAACCCCCCAAAAACACAAGAATACACACTGTCTTGAAACTCCTCGACTTGCTCACTAATTCCTGACTCTGCTTTAGCCGTGTATGTGTCTGCAGCTTGTAAAGACTGTGATCATGGACAGGGAGAGCTACAGGAAGAGTGCACACAGGCAGGCAGGTCGGTTAATGACAGACAGGTACGCCAGCCAATCATGAATGTTGCTTATTACAGTCCTGTGAGGGCCACAGACACCAGGTTGTTTTCTTTTTTTTCTCCATACAATGCAATTTATTGATGGCTCTCAGGAAGTAAAGAGGGCTCAAACAAATAAGATACAAAGTGTTACAGAAAAACTTACATTACATTTAAAGAAAATTATTAAACATTCCAGGATCTACCCCTGTGTCCAGATCCACGCCTAAATTTAATGGGGTCATTCTTCACCCACGTCCCATCCCTTTACCAAGTTTGTTGTGAAACTGTTTGGTAGTTTTTGCGCAATGCTTCTGATAAACAAACACCTCAACCAATGGTCAGGGATGAAAACATCAACACAACCAAAAGGGTGATGTCAGACCATCAGAGTTGTCTTGATGAAAAGACGAATTGTAAAAGGTATCGAATTAGCAGCACAGGATCAGGATAATTTATTTGGAATGCAATCACAGGCTGAAGTTTCATAGCGTCCTTCATATCAGAAATGGAATCCTGTTGCTGTGGTTACTATCAACCACAGGCCACTCCCTTGTTCTCTTAAAAAAACATACAGTACACCCCATTTTTGATGTCATGATCAGCACGATGACATGCTGCAATAAGTTCATGCCCTACCCTGTTGTGTAATAATGTCCTCACTCTCCCGTCATTCCAAGAATAACTCCCTCTCTGTCCAGCCACACCATGGCCTCGCGGGCCTCAATACCGCTCAGTTGGTAAATACCAAGGCTTTGTTTGTATTAATGGTTAATCATTACACTCTCAGGTCACTGACGTGTTTGTAGAGGCACACCCAGGTGATGAATGCTCAGTGGTTGTAGAGGGAATTAAGCAAAAAAAAAAAGTAAGCAAAAAATGTCCTATTAAATGTGACCCATGGTGCAACAGTTTGAACTCTCGTGTTGAAATAAGCACAGGAGTCAGGTTCCTCTGTTCTGTTCTTCATCTGACAGGCAGTGTCTCCTCAGTGATATGACTCAGATGTAAACCCATGTGGAAGGTGGAGGGCATACAGGTGGTGCAGGGTAAAATGCTCACCAACGACTATAGTCTGAATGTCCTGACTGTAGTGATATCAGGTTTGACCAATTTTACGATGGCCGTGGTTTCATAACGTCATGGTGTCATTACCATACTAATTGCAAAAACTATGATATCTAATCTGTCACAGGCCACGTGAGGGATCACTGTACAGGTATATCATTGACAGAGCAGAAGTTGTGAGAGGAGAAGAGGAGGTTTAGTGAGATCTTCTCAATATCAGGTGGCACCATGTGTAATGGGGCCAGGTAGCTGTCGGCAACCTCTCCACTTTGAATGCAGCAGAGTAGAAAATTGGGGAGAAGATCCAAAAGCAAAGTTTTGACAGGTGTGAACAGGGTTTTCTGTTTTACACTTCTTTAATTGTGGATGTTTTGTGTTTTGCTCCAAAATTCTTCGACTCCATCTTTCTGGCGATGAACTAATCTCTGTAGCGTTTAAGTTCCTCTCTTCTCTGCGATACATTTAATCATGTGTTAACAAATATTTCCAGACTTTGACGTCCGTAAAAACTATTCTTTTCGTTTCCTTCCCGTTCAGTCATTAAAACCAATTATGAAAAACACCCCAAGTCTTTTTAAGTAACAGGAGTGACACCACGTTTAGGCTATTGTTTGAAAATGAGTCATAAGCCTCCCTTATGCTGATGTGTGTCTTACCACGGCACAAAGGAAGATGCACTTTGAAATTTAAAGTATGATAAATAGGATATATATGTTTTTTGTCTTTGGTTCAGTGTCATCTCTGACATCTGTATGATCACGCAAATATTTCGTACAGGTTTTTAAGGTGAGAGATGTGACCTCTGGCCCTTATGTTCCTCAGCAGAAACTGAAGCTGATTTTACTTCTGACATCAGATTAAATCAAGCCAATGAAAAGGTTTTCAAGCTGAGTAAGGATAGTAAACTGGTTTTACTGAGCTGACAGGTCTCCGTACATCACAGTCATCACAATGTGTTTTCCATCCACAGCAGAGGCGTGGCCTATGCTGTTAGTTAGTCAGTCACTATGAATGTCTGAGGTCAGTTTATCTGTGCTGCTGTGAGTGACTGACAGCCTGTTGACTTAGGAAGGCTGGGACACTTGTGGTTGTGATAGAGACAAGGACACGCAGTACAGCCACAAACAGGCCATTACATGTACACACACAAACACCCCAACTTTGATGAAAATGTACTGTAAAGATAAAGTAATAGTTCTCAAAAATCAATTTTAAAAGATGTTAATGTCACAGGAATGTATAGAGCAAATGTGACCTGTAAGTTAGTACACATCTAATAATTGTGTGATCAATTATAATATAGTTTTAAGAATAGATTTAAGTTTATACAGGTGACATTTTCAGATTGAAACTCAAGAACTGCTGGGTGCTCTGAATAAGAAGTAAGACTAGTTCAGCAGAACGTAGTATAACTTCCTGGGATTCCCCTGGAATAAAGATGGTGGTGCCCATTAGCTCATCTGGTTGAGTGGGCTCCTCATGTATGGAGGCTTGAATCCTCCTGAAGCGGTCCCAGGTTTAGTTCAGTTCAGTTTTCTCCCTCACAACATTTCATTATGTTATTATTCTCTGCTGACCTGACTGTTCTTGTGTCTCCTAATCTCAGGGTTGTAACCCATTCGCCCAGACTGGACGAAGCAAACTGCAGAACAAGCGAGCCAGTCTGAACCATGAGATCATCAAAGAGATGAGGATGAGGGCCGGAGCTGAGAACCTGCTGAAGTAAGAACAAAATGAGCCATAAAAACATGCATTGTACATACTGTGTGTCTGATTATCAGTGGGGAGATAGACTCAGTCTAAAACATACAGAGAACAGAGTGTAGGATCCGCTCACCTCATAACATAAATACACATATGCACATATGTGCAACTGCAGTAGTCATAAGGGAAGGCCAGCCATTCTAATTATATCTGTGCTCACATCATGCATTGGTGCGTCACTCATTCATCTGTATTGCCTGGCAGGTAGATCACTGTGGTATATATGACCCTTTGTAAACTCTGGTCTGTTGATGTTGGGACAGGTCTGGCTTCTCTTCCGTCATCGTCGTGTTTATGAGCTGCCAGAAATTCTTGGTGAGGCTTAAAACGACCAAAAGTGGGCAGATGATAATAAATGATAACACAAGGAGCAGTTTGTTTGCTCAAAGTGCTACTGAGAAATGTGTCCTGAGAGAAAAAAAGACATTTTCCTGGGCTTTTGTTTTTTATTAGAAGTCTCAAAGCAGTCATGCTTCCTGTCAGGAGTTTTGAATAGATCTGGGTGCCTTTTATAATTTTGTTCTCTGTTTAGCTGTGGTGGTCGGAAGTCTAAAGCCAAATGTGTCTGTTCTCTGAGAGCTAGAAATATCTTCTATCTGTTGAAATACCTGTTCAGGATTGTTATGGCTGAATTTGAGATCAGACTTCCCAGCAGGCACAATACAACAGAGAAATGTGAGCAACTCCACTGCTCTGTCACAGCCTCTGAACCCTTGTTCTTTTTGTGCAGTCATGTAAGAGGCTGTTTTTCTCAACATCCTGATGACTAACACTAGTTTCATTCCTAGAATTTAAACTAAATTGCATATTATAAAAACAGTATAACATGGCATTCAAACAGTTAAATATGGTTTGGATCATCACAATGTTTAGTCACTAATTCAACACTTGTTTTAGTATATATTGTGATACTCAGAGCCACCTGTAAAACAAATAAAGATTGGCTTTTAATACACTTTCTGTAAAGAAATGTTGGTTCATTCCAGACAATGCAAGTGGAAATTCACACCAGGCTGAAGCTTCTCCAGTCAAAAATTGATGAATGAATGTTTGTACAGTTTTTATGTTTAACAGCCTTTCATTGTGCTGGACCAATAATGCAGTGTTTACATTAGTGTTAAACTCTTTTCCCTTTTACGTTGTTGTTATCACCTCTGTCGAGGAGAATAGGTTTTAATCGAATTTCAATGAAACTTGGAAACGTTGGAAGGATGTGATGTTCATCAGTAGAGAACTCAAAAATTCTTGTTTTTCATCATTTTTGTTGATTTTTAGGACAATAATTCATGGAGCTCTACTCTTTGTTTACTGATAAAGCCCCTTGGACATTGAAAATTAATTGAGACCTGTTAACAAATGTGAATTTGTCTGTTGATGTCAGGCAAGGAGATCAAGAGATTGAAAATTGTTTTGTTTTAAATTCTGGATGCAAATGTAACACCACCAAAACCTGCTCCACTGGAAAACAAACATGTCTGTCAGCTATTAGCTTCCTGGTGAGACAAAAATATGAAGCAGAAAACTTCCAGAATCAAACTTCATCTTTTTATGGCTTTTTATTGTAGTTAATTGTCTACGGGAAATCCACAGCACAATGTGTGGGAAAACTACAACCTCAGAAATGTCCATAGTAAAATCAGCTGGAGCACAGCTCACTGACAGTGTCAACACAGTTTGAAAATTATAAGCTTTGTAAAAGAAGTGTTTACTGCAGGCTGACTGTATTGAATTGCATTTGATTATTATACTTCTGTTTATGAAGGTGCACTTTGTGGCATAAGGTTACACTGAAAAAGTACCTTGTGGTATGTTTTGTCACTGAAGCTGTAGCTTCCTGTCTAGAAAATCAAAAGATTCAAGAGTACACCTTTTCTCCTATAAAGACAATAACCCTCAACTTCTCCCACTGGGATTCCTGGATTAGTGTGTGTGCGTGTGTGTGTGTGTGCGTGCGTGCACGCTTGTGTGCTTGTGTGTGTGTCTGTTCGGCAGACTACAGTCAGTCTCAGAAGCCTCCACATTCCTGTCCTCAGATAGTCTGCCCAGCTAAGGCCAGGGGCAAGTGGACTCTGTGTGTGTGAGTGTGTGTGTGTGTGTATATGTTTGTGTGTGTGTGTGCCAACACAGCTGCAGACAGCAGCCCGGGTGCATCTTTGAGTTTCAGGTATGCCCTCAGCTTTATTTTTAAAGCCTTAAATCATATAAAGTTTGTATGTGTGTGTTTGTGTCTTTTGGTAAGGCCACTACAACATGGTTGTCATGGGTACCTCACTTACTTCAACATCTACCAGGATTGTATTTCTGTACTCATGTTAAAAGCAGATTCTCAGCTCCCCAGGATGAAAAAAAACAAGAGATGACGTGTTAAATTTTCATCTAAGCTATTTGCCAAAACTAAAAACCGTGTGTGTGTGTGTTTGTGAACCTGTTATTAAATCATGTGGGGGCTAAATACACCCACAACCTATGGTCAAATCAAGGCCCCCATGGGTCCAGACTGCTTTATGAGGGTTAAGACTTCGTTTTAGGCTCCAGGCTGCTATTCGTTCAGGGTTAGATAGTTGTGATGGTTAATGTTACGGTGTGTGTGTGCATGTGTGCACGTCTTTATTTCTTCTCTCTGGTTCTGCATTCTTCTCTCTATCAGCAACAGGTGGAGTCAGTCTGGTCTGACCAGTTCTCTTCTTTCTCTTCTCATCTCCTCTGAGGTATAGATAGAATGTAAGGCCTTTATCGATGACAATTTATTCTGATAACAATCCATTTTCTAGTGAAAAAAGTAGATCCACTCAGTTATTCAGAACCAGTGTTACTTGTTGTATTTTATCAGAGTCTCAGAGATAATATTTGGAGAACACTCACTTTCTGTTATATAACTATATATAGATATTTGTGGTCTCAGATCAGTGTTTTGTCCTATAAAGTATTTGATGTTGCCTTTTTTGTAAAGACAACTGTTAGTTGACCAAAAACATCAATACATAATTAAGAATAGCTATATCTTGAGTGAAACCACACTTGCTGGTTTACACTCTGATTCCCATGCACTGCAGGATGATATTCATTTCCCTGATATTAATAATAACCTCTTTGTCCTTAAAGTCTTTTTCCTCAACGGGTTGTTATTTTTCGCTGTTCACTCAGGGATTCAGACAATGGCAAGTAGAAAAGTGAAACAAATATGCTCACTGATAAAGTGAACGGTATGTGCTGAAGTCCTCCCCTCGCAGTTTCATTGTTTCACCTAAACCACACATCTTGTCCTGTTTGACATCAGTAGATAACAAACTCCTGTTCCAGGAGCCACTAGTCATCTGACCGAGTCTCTGCAAAGAATTAATCTCTCTCTGACATGATTATTTTCTCTGACATTTAACAGTTTTCGGACTTCAGTGTTTTTGAGCTCATCATTTGTGACAGACCGAGTGCTTGTTTGACAGATTTCCTCCCTGCTTCACTACTCATGAACATAGTTCCTCAGTGGCAGCAGAGCATGTTACATCAGCCTTCAGACTCCTGCAGGTTAAACTGGACTAACTAAACACAGGCTGATGAACTCTGAAAGACTCACTATAGACACACTCAAAAACTTTGCACGCAGCAACATCAGCAACAAAGGCTAAAGATTACCCATAATGCAATACTCTGTAAAAGACAAGATATGGTATGCACCCTTTGAACTGGGAAGTCTGATGTTCTCAGTTGGAAATTTCATCAGGAATGCCCCCAAAGTCAAATTTCCAGTTGTCTGGCTATTCTGATTAAACCAATTCCTAAATATATTTAACACACGTTCCACCACAGTATTCAGATCTTGAACATCTATGATGGCTCTAATAATAGTCTAATATCAAAGAGCTGCAGGTGCTTCTTCACATTTCACCTTTTAAAAAAACAACATCCTCTGTAATTACAGGGTAGAGGGAGAGAGAGAGAGAGAGCAAGCAGGTGACATAGAGACAGGCTCTGGTTGACAACAGTCAAACAGCTGTGGACTAACAGGTTTGGGGCGGGGGGGTGTAAGTGTGGGTCCCATTAGTTATGACTGAAAGATAATGTGTAGTGTTTCACTGTAAACCAGAGATAAGGATATATCACACCCCTGAGGGGTGTGTGTGTGTACAGATTGTCAGCAAGTGATATTGTATAATAAATTCTGCATTTCAAAGGATCCATTAACTTGACTATGCTAACAAACACACACAACACTGACACACGCCCCTCAGACTGTCATTACAGCCTTATCTCTTCTGTGCAGTGAATCCTAATACCTTATCTGGGTTTCCTTATAGATACTCAGCACATGCACACACACACAGACACACACACACAGGGACAGATTTAGAAGAAGGTTCTTCTTCACCTTAACACATAAATGTATTTGTTATGTTTTTGTTTCAGAAATTGTGCAAAATTAAATTGGACACAAATCAATCACATGAAGAATTCTTTAGGGATGTTGATTTTTTTTATTTTTATGTTTGAACAGGTTTACTTAACTCCCAGAATGCTTTGTTAAGAAACCATGTTAATGTGACCTTTTACAAAACCTAAATGTGGCAGGATTGTGGTTGTGCTTGTGACTTTTTACATTTACAGATATCGGCCCTCTTGCCCACTTTCCTGTGTATTGCTGCATAGACAGTGTGATCATATCAAGTTGATCATGTAATGGTAACATTCTCCTTACCGTGGGAATGAGCTGTTGAGTTACATTGCAGCTGCAGATCTTTGCTGTGAGCTGGAGAGTAAATGAAGTGCACAGCAGGGAACAGTGACGCAGGTCTGTGGTCCAGAATACCACTTGTTTTAATAATCAGAGGCAGGAAAGCTGGGTTGGCTCAGAGTGGATAATAACAAGGCTGATATTTCTTTTTTTCTGCCCTCTCTTTAAGTCAAACATGTTATAACCTTTTTTCTTTCTCTTTCTCTCCACCTCTTTCTCTCCCACCTATCTCTCCTGTGAGCAGGGCCACATCTAATAACAAGGTTAAAGAGATGGTTCTGTTGGAGCTGAGCTATGTGAACGCCAACCTGCAGCTACTGATGGGACAGCTGGAAGGACTGAACAGCTCAGTGGAGGTCTACCAGAGCACCCAGTGAGTATAAACATGACTCTTCTTTTTCTTTTACTGATTCTACTGGTTATACTCCTCCTATACAAGACACTGACTCATTTAAAAATGATCATCTAGCTACTAATTCCACCATCGTCTGTCTTTATGTGTATATCTTGCGAACTGTTTGGCTAATCAACTTTTCCACTTGGCATATGTATTCTTTGTGGTCATGCAAAGTGCAGTGTTGAGTTTGGTCTTGGTTTGGACTTGTGGTATGGTCAAGAAAGAAGCGACAAGTGCATTTAGTCCATGGACAACTGGGTCAAATTCTGGTCAATATCACTATTATATATATTATAATATTCTAGCTAGATCGCTTTGATATATATTCTTTTTAATTCACCGTATCGGACTGACACAGACAGTTACAACATTTATGGAATCACTTCCTTCTTTGGCGATTTGCCTTTACAGTAATAGCACACTGTTTGTTTCTTTGGAGCATTAACACAGGCCAAGGCAGGCAGGTTTACAACGGGCACTGCACCAGTAAGAAAAAATCATAATAAGTGAGAAACAAGGAGGGTCCTCTAAGAGTACATAGTAGCTCTGCTTAGGCTCATGGCCTATCTTGCCATGTCAAAGCAGTGAGCAGAAATATGGTAATAATAATAATCAGTGTCTCCACCTCGACTCCCCCAAATACTGTATCCTGCTTTCGATTTTCCAAACCTGTTGTGAGTGAGGACTGTTCAAAGTCATCAGAATTTAAATAAGTCCTCAGTCTGGAGATGTAACCCTCAGATTGCTGTTAAAACAAGACCAATAGAACACAGAGACACTGTGTAAATTGGCAGCCAACATGAGACTGACGGCTCAAGTGCTCGATTACAGAGGAACAGAGAAGGGAGGTGTGGGGAAAAGAGACACACAGAATCACAAGAACGTAAAGTGGGAGTTTGTTGTTGTTGAGCTGGATCAGCTGTTTTTTGTGGGACACAACACTCAGACCAAGAGGAGAGGAGCTGGATATGAATGAGATAAACATCTGGTTCAAAGTTTGTCAGCCTGACGACCGGGTGTGTCGAGGTGTGTGAGGGATGGTGATAGGTGCTGGTGTTTTCTGTGGGGCGTGGTTGACACTGTCATGTTTATGTCATGTGTCAAGTTAAACACTAAGGACTTGATGACTGTAATATGGAAATAAAGAAATTTCTAAAAGTGGTGAGAGATGTTATTTGAGGATTGGCATCTGTGTGCTGTAGATAACTTCTACTTCCTTGAGATAAGACATCGGGACAAAATAACCACATGCATTGTAACCATGGACAGCCCTTTGAAGACTGGGAGGGGCTCAATTTTATATGTAATAAAATATGAATTGAGGGCAATGTAATATTTTCATTGTGTAATGTATTGAATTTAAAAGTCTTTGTAGGTTACTGCAAATTAACTGAAATGGATGTTCTGCCTGATTGAAGTACATCTGCCTCCAGCTGGGTCTTTTTATTAAGAACACTTGAGGCCTCTGTAAGCCGTCTGCCTGGACACATACACACACACACACACACACACGCACACACACACACACACACACGCACACACACACGCTATACATATGCTGAACACACTAATCCTGCTCGACACATTCACTTACGCACACATAAGGCAAAACCAAAAAGCCTGTGCCCTCCACCTCCAGGAGGCACCAATATATATATGATTCATATATCTACTACACACACACATACAATCTTCTGTTTTAGATGCCATGTTACCTATGGCAACAAATAACAACTGAGCAGTAGAACGATGGGGCAGATATGGGGGTCGTGTAGGGCTGTGAGGGATGGGGGTGTTGTGTGCTGGTAACTATGGTAATGGTTCTAAGGGTCATTGACATGAATCCTACATGATTAGGTTTTGAAGTATCAAGCTGCTGCTGATCAGGCTGTTTGCTTGTAAACAATATAAAAGGGAATTTGTTATGAGATCCAGACTCAGTTTTCTTCTAAATTCTTGTGTAAATCTGCTGATCACCTTATAAAACCAAAAACCTACTTGTGTTGGTGCTGCAAAAAGACCAGATTAGTTTGTTTGGCTCCTCTAGTCTCCATGCTGTAAGCAGAGTGTGAGAACTTGACCTGATAAATCAGGTGTTGTTTTGCAATCAAACAGGACTTCTTGTGTAAGTTAACCTTATGTGTGAATATCGGTGGAGTCAAGATTTCCCTGGATGCATTTTGTGTTTCACGCCATGACTGAACTGATGTCGTTACCAACAGCAACTTACAATTTGTCTGCTGTGAAGGCATTTGGGTTCCATCTTATCTTTTATAAAACTAGAAATACTAGTACAGGTGCAGCCTGTGTACATATCCAGACTCGTATGAGGTTGCTTTGACCTATAATCAAGTGTCAGAATTTGAAGAAATGTCATTCAGGCGGTCTTCAGATGTCATGTTCAAAAGGCAAAAAGCATGTTTTGTGAGACCACTGTGACTTTGACCGACCAAATCTAATCAGCTAATCTGGGAGTCCGAGTGAATGTATGTAGCATATTTGAAAAGATTATCTCAGGGCGTTACTCAGATAAAGTGTTCACAAGGCAAAAAAGAGTGTTGTGAAGTCACAGTGACCTTGACCTTTAACCCTCCTAATTCTACTCCTTGGTTATCCTTGAAACCAAGTGGATGTTTGTGTCAGATGTAATGAAATTCCCTGACATATGTGTTCCTGACAGATCACCTTCACAAAACTAAAAAACATAATGCCTTTGGCCACTGCCTGTCGCTGTTGTGGAGGCATTATAACTTTGCATATCAGCCACTAAGAGAAACACAATTAGTTTACTAATGATGAACATGGCAGCAACATCATCAAAATCGAACAGCAAAACAAACAACAAAATCGGTACAAGCTCTTGGCCCAAGTGTCCTCTGTCACATGGGACCATGCAGATTCCAGTGTGGGAACATTCAGCCTGCTTCATGCACAGACAATAGACAGACTGAAAAACTGCCATCACCTGTCCACCATTTTGTCTGTTTAATAGAAAATTAAACACGGGCCGAGTCCAACCGTTTTATGTCATCACATTCACACTACCAGATATACAAAAGGCCATACATACGGGTGCACAGGTAATGTGTACGTGGGAATATCAGATATTTCTCAGGGATGACGCTGCACTGCCACAATGGAGAATTAGCCTCCTCCTCTAAGCCTGAAACACAACCTGAGTCTCAGCTGCAGAAACAAAAACCTCAGCTCGCCTTTCTAGGCTTTTCCCACCGGGTCAGTCATCCATTGAATAGTGTCCTTCAATAGTTATTTCTCACTCAGACCAGATTTAGCTGGTTTTGGCATGAGGTAATGCAACACAGAGAGCACGTACAGTAGATGTGAGTGATGCAGTACACAGTACATGAAGTAGGTGACCTACTCTAAGCACCAAATAAAAAAACAGCAGCTAATCTTGCCTAGTTCTTGTTAATCTTATCAATTATCAAAACCAATACAGAAAGGAAATGTTGAACATTATTTTAATGATGTACATTAATCAGCATAATTTTCATTCTGTGACACTCTTGACACCAAACTGTTGTTCCTCCTGTGATTTGTAATGTAGTAAATGTTTGTTCAGTTCCTTGGTGTACTGTTCTTGACCTGGACAACAAACTGAACCTCCTCTGGATCAGCATCGCTGAAGTGATAACAAATGAAAACAGTCAGATTAAGATATCAGCACAACAGGCGGATTCATTCACTTTGTTGGTATAGATAAAGTGGAGTCATTGGCACTAGAATGAGCTCCTCTGCTCCTGTAGACTATGACAACTGGTTGTTTGTAAGAAAAACAATTTCTTGTTTATGATAAATGGTGAGATTGTACAACAGAGTATTAAAGCCACTTAAAGGGGAAGAAATCTGAGATATTTCCAGTAGAAAATTGTAAAGTTATCTGAATAAAGTTGTAATATTCAAGAAATAGTCACAATTGAATGAGAAAATAAACAGCTCAGGGAACTTGTGCTCCCTGGAATTTTACTCCTGCACCTTAAATCTTACTGGACCATTACAAAACATTTCCTCCTCCACTCAAGACGCAACTTCCTCCAAGTACAGTATGTGTTGTTCTCTCTGTGTCCTGATACTAATAACAATAGAATATTAAGAAATGAAATGAATTACTTTTTGCTTGCAATAACATTACAACTTTACTTTGTTAAAATCTATGACTATTTTCTCATAGAAATTTGACTATTCTCGTAAATTCTCAACTTTTTTCTCAACCTTAGGATGTCCTTAATAACAAAATGATACATCTCAAGGGATTAATCCTAAAAAAGAATGTCATACAATTACGTCTATATAATTGACTGGCCTTAGTATTGTGACTTCAGGCATTTGTGCAGGATTATCACTGTAAACCAGAGCTTGGGGTTGGACTGGGTGATCGTCTGTTCCGTGCCTTGGACACTGGCACTTTAAACGGTGGTGGAGAAGGGATGGGGGGGGGGGAGTGAACTTCTTAGGGGGCTTTTAACATTTCAGATTCTCTACAGAACAGATATCCTCACCCCCTCCTCCCACCCTCTCCCTCGGTCCAAGCCAGAGAAAAGAGCAGTGATCTCATCTACAGGCACTAATGGATCACGCTGCAGCCTCCACTGTGCTCTGTCAGTGTTACTGATGAATGAGGGTTTCTGTGATTCACAGAGCCAGTGTGCCAGAGGAATGCTGCCTTATCATCAAGTGATGAATGAGTGTGAGCAGTTTGGTTTCTGGTGCTTCTGTTGTTGATGTCTTGTGCAGTGAAAACTCTGTTTTCATCCCTCATCTCTTCTATTTAAAGAGTTGTGATTATAATAGATTTAGGCTAAGATCATTAATGAATACTTGCTGCTGCTGCTGGCCTCAATGTTTTTTTAATAACTTAAATGTCAAACTCAACCAGAAGCAACCCGGATATGTTTTTAAAAAGAGCAAAGCATTTAGCGACGCCTCATTATTCTTCTCTAGGTGGGGGAGGGCTGGGGTTTTTTAAAGACTCTGTCTGATCATCAGCAGTTACCTGTCAGTTTATATTTCCTCAGCTCTGATAACAAGCTGAACCTGCTTTCCATCTGTCAGCAGATTGAACCTCCAGGTAACTGCAGCATGACAAATGTAATCACTGCAACTAAGATCAAAACAGAGGGTTACCCTGGTGTTTTATGGCGCCTTCTGTTTTCTGTTTGGTGAGTTTCAATAATAGAGGGTAAAAAGCCTGTTTTTAAAGCTGCGCAGCTTTACAAGACAAGGTGGTGTGCGTGGGGGGGCCTCATTCACCTTTAAATCCTGACCCCCCCCCAGTGTGTGCAGTGCCTTGCTCGAACAGCACCATCTGTCTAATCCAGACTTACCATGAAACCACACTTAAGATTCAATGAAAACATAAACTTTCTAAATTAGCATTTCTAAAGCCACAAAGCTGTGGCTGGTGTGACCAGGCTGATCCCAGAAATGTACACATGATTTTGAACTAATATGACTGTAATCAACATGATATCCATAACAAGGCTTGGCCTATGGTCAAAGGGAGTTTCTTGTTTGTGATGTCATGTGCCGCACCTCAGAACCTGCTTTTCTTCACCATTAACCTCGTAATCTATCCGTAGGCTCATGGTGGATGTTCACAGAATGAGCCTTTCTTAATTGTCTATGAATCAAAAAAGCACTTTTAAGTGCTGTATCATGTGTTTCCTGTGTTACCGTCCTCACTGCCAACACGTCTGTGAGCAAGCTTCGAGAGCATTTACCTCATATGCATAATGATTATGATAGAATGGTTAGTCAATGACGTTTGTCTTTTTCTTTTGTGTGCAGGGAAACTGCCAACATCCCCCTCATTGCTCTGGGTCTGAAGGAGACAAAAGAAGTCGACTTCTCTGCTCCATTCAAGGTACAGAAATAACAACAGCAGTTTCACCATTCCCCCCTTACAACAGCACAATGTAAAAGTTACTGTATATATATAGCTTTGTTTATGTGTATATACAGTATATATATGAGGATATAGTCATTTCAAAATTCAAGTCGCTTTTCAGCATGGATTAGTGTCTCATTGACTGCACCTATGCTATGTTCTCTATTTATTCAGGAACAGTACAACATCTGCCTTGAAAAATATATGTCCCATATCAGCTAAATTGGGTCAGTAGTTAATTACACCGGTAAATGTCCTAACGGCGAATTTATGAAAATAATAATAATAATAACAACTTGAAATTACCTGTTGTGGTTTGTTGACGCCCATTCTGGGAGGTATTCTGAGGTGATAATCTTTGAGCAGGTCAATTGTGCTAATGATGGTTTTCACCAGCCGCCCTGATTTCTGTGCAAAGTATAGAAAGGTTTGTATTGAGATGATGATTATTTTGTTGTTGACAGGACTTTATCTTGGAGCACTACAGTGAAGAAGGCAACAGTTATGAAGATGAGATTGCTGATCTGATGGACCTGCGACAGGTAGTAAACACTCACGGCCCCGTCTGACAGCATATGTTTCTGATGTGTTTTTTGCTCTAGTGATCTTTAGTTTGTTTAGAGACAAATAAAACAAAGGGTTTTAGATTGATAATTTCTCCCAGTGTATTTAAAGAGTTTAACACATCCAGCAATTAAAAGTTTGCAGTTAAATCACATTTCTTTTTATTATTGACATAATAATCTAATAAAGGTGAATGGTATTTTGCAGTTCACAAAAACGGCTGAATAACAGCAAAGCATCTTTCCAGAAACAATGTCTCACTTTTTGTTTGTTCACAGACCTTGCTGGATTTGCAGCAGTGTGCTGCTTCATTGCTGTGCATTTTTTTAATTGGCACTTTTTTCAGAGACTTAAATCCTAAAGTCACGGTACATAGAAGTGAAATTATCCAGACAGTCAGGGAAAATTATTCTGAGTGCAAAATAACGTTTTTGTGATTTGGGTGAACCTACAACTATCAAATCTGTTTTCTTTCGTGTGGTAGGCTTGCCGAACACCAAGTCGAAACACAACTGGAGTGGACCTGTTTGCAAAATACTACAGCCATCTTCCTCTGATGGAGAGCAGATTCTTCTCCCCAAATCGCCCGACTGGCATCTTCTTCACCTGGTACTGTATATAACTATAAGATTAGGTGAAATTGTTTAGAATGTACTTCAGCAGTCAAGCAAGTAGCATTATAATTAAGTTGTTCTGTAATGTAGTTAACATGAGCCATTTGGGGTTTTAAATGCTGAATTCACTTCATTCATTCAGAGATGGATAAGAGTGAGAAGATGAGCCTACAGTTTCAAACCCTCACAACCTCCAAATATGGAGGTTTAGACTCAGAGATTTTATTTTGTGGTGGTTTTGATGAGCCAGTGACAGCTCCCACCTCTTTTCCTCAGGTATGACTCGTTCACAGGAGTGCCAGTGTGCCAACAGAACCTGTCACTGGAGAAGGCCAGCATCCTCTTCAACATGGCCGCCCTCTACTCTCAGATTGGTACCCGCAGTGACAGACAGACAATAGTCGGCCTGGAGGAGGCCATCTCGTCCTTCCAGAAAGCTGCAGGTAGGAAGAGATGGGAGTGGTACACTGGGTTAAAGTGATAATTCCTCTATTTGAAGTTGTAGTGTCAGACGTTCAAATGAGAAACTTTATTTATTTATATATTTTTTTAATCTAAAAAAACAGGAAAAACTTAAGAGGAAGCAAGAGGAGGACAGATAATGAACAGTCATGTCAACCTGTCGTCTTAATTGTTTTGTTTTGTTTTTTAAATGTTTGGCATGTATATTAGCTGAACATCACCAGGTGCTGTGATTTATCTGAACATGAAGCATTCCTTTTCCTTGGAAACATTTTTAGAATCACCCTAAGATCAAAAAAGCATACACTGTTCTGTGAATAAGTACGAGTGCAAACACAGCCATATTTTGAAAACCTATATCAGCCTCCACCCTCTGACTTTGGCTCTGTGACGGAGAATGAATCCAGTTGATGCTTCTCTGGCTTCTTGTCATGTGGCTGCGCTCCAGAAAGTACCAATCATACAGGCTGCTTCCCCAGCTCTCAGAGAGTTCAGGAAGCTCAGACGAGTCTTGATAGAATTATGACTTGGCTCGTACGAGGAGTATTGCATTATAATTACAGCTTTGAATGAGCAGGGGGTTTGGTTGTATTGCTTTGATAGTTGTAATTTCAGCCTGTACTAAGTGAAACAGGATGAGGAGTATTGTCACTGGAGTGAAGAGGCGGTAAGTGACAGGCATGGACGCTAGCTGTTGAAGGGCTGCCGCAGTGCCCTTCAGCCAGTGACACAAAAGAGGATGGGAGGGGCCAGATGGATATCTCAGAGTCTCAGATGAAGTCTAGTGAGTCAGTGCTCTGTTATTAAGTTGTCTACAAGTCTCTGCTGCCAGCTTTTTAATCTGGAAAATAAGAGGGAGGCTCTCTCAGTTGGAATGCTCATGGTCTTATTGCTCCCATTGAAAATGAAAAACTAATTGAAGAGGGTTTGTGTTTTGGCTAAATTTTAAAGAAACACACTGACATTGATCCTACTGCTCCCAGCGAATACTGCAGTAACTGCAGCAGACCTGCAGAGGGAAAAAGGTGGCGATGTCCTGACATATGGAGTCACATAACTTCTGTGTGGAACCTTCTCAAAACATGTATCATAGTAATGGCACTAATATTGTTCATCAACTCAATGTTATTTTGTACTGTATCTAATGCATGTGGATGTTTCAGTGTTACGGAAATAATACTTAGCTACCGAAACCACGCAGGTGACAATTATTTTTCAGTTTTACTAAACATAATGGCTTGCTACCTCGGGTGTGGATCATCTTCACCAGAGTTAAAGCATCCTTCAGGCTGGACAAACTATTTACAAACTTCATTATTAATTATGGTGAAGATGACAATACTGCATTAGATTACAATCGCTATTTATTCTCGAGATATTATCGTCAGGTGACTGTCATTTACAATCATATCGAGTTTAATTACAGGGACAGAGAAAGAGTAGAAAACAACATAGATAAATAAAAGCCATTTAAAAAAGTTGGATTAGAACGATCAAAGGAGTCAAGATTATCAAAATGTTAGGTAATAAAATGACTTTGCAACATAAATGTGAGACATGAGTGTTGCTATAATAAGGCCTAAAATATTAACTAGAACTACTTTTATATAAAACAGTTTAAGTTGGTAGGTTAAAAATCAATTTTCTAAAATGGAATATTTTATTAGATTCAGAGTAATTTGTTGGGATCCATTTACTCTACATTTGAATATTTTTACCAAGGCAGAAAGCATGAATGCAATCTCCCATATAACCTCTATGTCTCTGTTTCCCATTCAGCTTTCATCCAAAGATCAAACCAAAACCCAAAATTGAAAAACCATTCCAGCAGTGAATGTTAATGAGAGATGCTGCTTGAATAATTTGTTTGGATTACATGAGAAAAGAGATTTAATTCCCTACAGGTCTTAAAAACAATCACAAACTGAAATACTGAAGTCTTCTACTACACAATGCCATTGATTTGTCTCAGAACATCCCAACTGAATAAAATGAGTGTTAAATATAATTTTTGCGGAGTGGGAATGGTTTTCTTTTGAGTTGTACTGATGACTCAATCTCCTCCAGGTATCCTGAACCACCTGAAGGAGACCTTCACCCACACCCCCAGCTACGATATGAGTCCAGCCATGCTCAGTATGCTGATCCGCATGATGCTTGCTCAGACTCAGGAGTGTCTGTTTGAGAAGACTGCACTGCCTGGGATTCGAAACCAGTTCCACTCCCTGATGAAAATGGCCCAGGAGGCTGCTAAGGTACCAGCACAGGCAGACATGCACTCCACACATCTTTAAAGTTGTTTTTCTTTAGTGGGATGTACTCTAATTAAAGCAAATGTAAAGTGATAATGCCACCACCTTCAGATTCTTCATCTCCACCAGAAATTGTATCCACATCAGTAACTCTGTCTTTCTTTTCCTGCCAGGTCTCGGAAACTTACGACCAAGTCCATCAGTCCATGATCCAGACGCCAATCAAAGACAATGTCCCATTGTTCTGGTCCACCATGTCACAAGTCAAAACCAACCACTACCGCTCCATGGCACACTACTTCGTAGCCTCAGCTCTGCTCGACCACCAGCGTAAGTAAACTGTACATGGAGAAATTAAAATCTTTCACTCATTGTCAGCTTCAGTGAAACTGAAGAGTTGGTGATCGCAGACTGAAGCCACAATACAATGTCTCTGCCTGTGTTGAGCACCACTGTCTGAGCGACAATACATAGTCATTTGCATATAGTGTGAACTGCACCTGACACAAGGTACTCGATGTTATGTAGAGAGGTGTGACCTTCACACACTGTAAACGCTAAACAAACGGGGCCCCTCTTCGCAGTAGCTGGAGTATATAACATCGTATCACGTAGCTTGTTGTAAGTCAACTTTAGATGGTTCAAATTTAATGAACTTTCTCTGTGATATCAGTGCCACTGTTGGTTTACAAGGTGTAAAAACACTTGTGGGAGTTACAAGACTCCATCTGCCTGATCTTGAATGCCTTGTAAAACCTGATCCATCTCATAAACTTCTGCTGTACGGTACCATGTTGGTCATGTTAGATGGCTGGTCTGAGCCACAGCTAGCCACAATGCTGTTACATAACAGCTATTTAAGGGACACACTCCCCACGGTAAAGAGAGGCTGTGTTTCCAGGAACGCGGCTCAGAGAGACAGGGCAAGAGAGAGCTTTAAGGAAATAAGAGAGCCAGTTGGAGTCAGTGAAGTGTAAGTACTGTAGTCTGCTGGAGAATTACAGTTTGTGGAGCGTCTTAAGGTCGTCGACATGATCAAATGGCACAGACAGGAAGTGTGAGAGCCAGAGACTGAGTGAGAGAGGATGTGAAGGATGCTTTTAGAGCAAACAAAAACTCTGCAGTAATAACTGTGGTGACAGTTGTCAATCATTTAGCATATTGTTTCATTTCTTGATGGCTTCTCGTTAATTTTGGTTTAAAGTTCACTTAACAACT